AGCCAAGTTTACAATGGAAATCAACACATCATTTCCCTGCTCTTCAAATTACATACACAATAGAAAATGGAGGTGATGGTGAGCAAAAAGAGAAAGCCTGAGAACAGGACAGGAATTCATTGTTCTTTTGAGCTAATTTGGATTGAAACTGTTGCAGTTCAGAAGAACCATGTTCTAGATGGGCTTCTAGATGAGCCAGGAGGCATTTTCTTCCTCCCTACCACCAAGTCAGCTTCAACCATGCTGGGGGTTGGCACTAGCAACTGTCTGATGCCAACTTTCTTGCCTCTAGCTCTGCCCACTCTGATGGCAACATCTTAGAAGGGTCACGTGCTCATCTCCAAGGCGCTGGTTCTTGTGGACTGGGGAGCATCCTGCTGCCCTCTGCCAGCTATATAATGTATTCTTCATAAACAGAGCAAAGCAGCAGTAGCCAAATACGTAATAGGCTTGAGAGGACAGGAGCATCTTAACCTTCCGTCATAAAGTGAGGAAAATGTTATGTGTTGTATAAGGATCTGCAGTGAATATCCATTCATCCTGTTTTATTTAATGAGATGAAAGCGACCTGCTGTTGACCTGGCACATGAGTGGTGTCGAACTTTTTGCCCTGGCTTGGCTTGAACTGAATCCAGGGATTCTCAAGCTCCCTTTTCTCTGCTGAGCATGTTTTCTCAAGTGAACTGATTCTCACCGCTTCCAAACACAAGAGGCTCCCCACCCCATGCTTTGCATTCACTGAAAAGCAATTCTTTCAAGAGGTATAGGAGAGAGGGTTTGCAAATACCCGGAAGAGTGGTTAGAAATGGGAACACACAAAAACAGAGTTCTGGGAAGGTAAAGCGCATTATGAATTGGCTAGCTGAAACAAATGCTATTATACATGGAAGGGTGAAATATGTGATCGCTCTGAGGAAGGTACCTGAGAGAGCTAGCTGTTTGTTTGTTTTTAATATTGCGGAATCAAGAGCTTGGTTTTCTTTGGAAGGAAGGGGAAAAGGCAGCTCGCAGTGCTTTGATACAATGGCGCCTGCTTTCTTTGGCACAGGCCTACTGATATTTCAATGGAACACCACTTACCTTTCACAAGCCAGCTTTGATTTACCTTTATCTGCTTCCCCGGTGCCATAAAACCATCTGCAATACTGCCCTGACATTTTCGACAGCTCCTCCTCCAGCTGCAGTGCTTTGTCAATTAATCAGTTGGGTTAATTGAAAGTAATTTTTATTATGTGTTTTTACATACAATTAAAAAGAAAAAGAAAGTAAAGAATAAATGAAGAAAAATGAAAACAAAACCATGAAAAACCAAGGACACAACACAAAACACCTAAGGATTTCCCTTCCTCTCCTTCTCTGATATATTTTCTTTTCCCTCTCTTCCAAGTTATCAAGTTCTACTCTTCTTACTACTCCTACTTCCACTTATACTGCTGAATTTATTCAAGTCCTGCTAATCTATTCACTTGTTTATACTGATTTTAAAAACATTTTCCAATCCTTTTTTGTATTCTTCATCATCTTGTTCTCTTATCTTACTGCTCAGACCCACCAGCTCCGCATATTCCAACAACTTAAAGTGCCATTCCTTCATGGTCAATACTACACCTTACACCTGTTCTCCATTTTTGTGCAAGTAAAATTCAGGCTGCTGTAGTGGCATACATATTTTTTTTTTTTAAACATATTGGGGGACTTATGTTGTTACTATCCCCGGAAGAAAAGCTTCTGGTTTCTTGGGAAATGTTCTCTGAAATATTTTTAATTCGTTATGAATCATTTCCCAGAATTTCTTGATTACTTTACTCAACCACCACGTGTGGTAAAAGGATTCTTCTACCTCTTTACACTTCAAGCATTTGCCTGTCCCAGCTTTAAACATTTTCAGTAGTCTACTTGGCGTTAAATACCGTCTGTGGATCATTTTCATGTGGCTTTACTTCAATATATAACATGCAGTATATTTCCCATAGCTTCTCCCATAGTGCAAACTCAATATTGTGCCCCACATCCCTTGCCAGATTAATCATATATGATTTCACAGGCTCATCTTTCATTTCCCATTCTAAGGGTTAGAAGATCTAATAAGATTTAATAAATAAGTGAATCTATCATGCCACTTGTCAGGGATGATCTACACTCCAAAGTGGCTCACAACATCAAAAACAAACAATATAATTCATGAACTATTGCAAAGCATAACAAATGAAAATGTTCCTGTGAACAGTAGATGAATAACAGCATCACAGCCTCTCAGAAGATCCATGACGAGGGAGAGAGTAGAATTCATCTCCAAAGGGATGCTTCCAGAGTGTTGGTATTTTCAGGTGGGACCCAATCACATACGGACAAATTCAGGTCACACAATTATAGTTCATAGGGAGGTCATGTGCAACAACCCTCCCCTCCAAAGAACCAGCCTTTTTGCAATAAGGAAAGTGACAGGAAATTGGAAAGTGTGGGATAACACTTGCTTTCAAGCATCATCTAACCTCCCTGCAAACAAATCAGAACAAACAAACAATAAACAGGCTTCCTGGAAACACCCTAAGATAGTGCCATCCACCTGCATACTGAAAATAGTTACACTGGAAGAGGAAATCTGCCTGCTGATTAATTGAGATTCTTCCACTTATTTATTAATATTTTTTATCTCACCCTTCCTCCCAAAGGAACACCAAAGGGGAAAAGCAATACAATTGAATAAAGCCAAAAACGCATTTAAAACAACAAAAAACATGATGGAGATTGCTATGAGATGTGCACATGCCATCTCGGTGGAAATGGCATTCAGCTAAGTTCTTCCACTCCTGCAATGATGTCTGCTTGCACAAGGAAACTTCCTCTTCTCCCTGTGTTGTCCAAATCGGTTCTGGTTTCCCCCATCCCCCCACAGCAGATTCCATGGCTAGGGGGCACGTGGGGCACATAGGGAGAGAAGAGGGAAGGGGAAGTTATTGTTATTTAATGAATTTTTAGTCACTTTCTCTTGCCTAAGGAAACCCAAAGTGACTTGCAACCAACCATCCCTTCACCCACATAAATACATTAAAACTGGGTGAGAAAAAAGTTAGTGTCATGCACTCCCTGTCCCCCAAGTTATGCTGTTTTCTTATTTCAGAAGATATTTTCCTTCTGGATTAAAGTTCCCACTCCTGGACAACATACTACAAGGCATGTAAAAATTGATGGCCCATTACAACAACCCCCAAAGCCACAGCATGATAACACCTTGATTAGGACCAGCCAGAATGTCGCAAAGTCATGTGCAACCTTTGGAGTTTGCTAGAACTTTCCACCAGACTGGATGTCAAATGCAACAGAAAGTCTGAAGTTCACCAGAGGCAGTGTGTTAATTAATCAACAGCAACAAATTCTTTAGCCAGCCAACAACGTTGACACAAATAAAAATAAATAACAGTTTGTGGCGTTTGCCCGTTCTTTTGGAAATGTCTGTAGGGGGGGGAGAGAAAGGGTTAATAGATAGACCAATAGAAAGCCCAGAGGTGGAGCCTACCTGTTTTTAAAAGGCTTAGCCAGAGGTTTAGACAGTAGGGGAAAGACAGTTGGGGAAACAGCAGTTGGGAAAGCAGTTGGAAGACAGATGGAAAGAGACAGACAGTTAGTGCAGTTGGTTCTTGTGTGAGGGGAGGTAGAAGAGTTAGAGACGGGATAAAATAAGACTAAGAGGGTAAAGGGTAACAGCGTTTCGAATGCATTTAAAGTTTATTTGAGTTTGCAATAAACTACAATCTTCGTTGTTAACTTGAGAACCTGACTGAGACTAAGTGATTTACCGGGCAGGACCTGGTTGGTTCTCCCCAGATTAGTGGTGTATGGGTCAATAGTCCGTGGGACGACTGGGGGCTCCGTATGAATGCCACACAGTTTAGAAGGAAAGCGAAGGACTATTCTCAAATATCTACTAGTATATCAGAAGGTGGCTTGTATTTCCCTTGCAGGGAATGAAATGAGCACAGTGGATGATGCACTGAAACTGCTTAGCTAGAGGCCACTGAAAGCCCCTGACAGATCTGTCAGCTGGACATGTCAACTTGTCAATCAAGAGGCTGACCTCGCTATGAACAAGGAGCGAGATACCCCATCCCATCCCACCCTGACTCTTCTTTCAGGTGCAGCCTACAGCCATGAAAACAACCAGCCAGAAACTTGTGAAGAATGGCTGCGATGTTGCAGCAGCAGTGGACACAGCAGTTTTCAAGGGTTCTTGCATCCCGAGTCTCACAGGAGGCAAAGATGTGTATCTAATTTGCTATTTTTTTTTAAAAAAGCAAAACACAGCCACTGTGGTGCCTGGCAGCTGTGAAAAGGTTAATTTAGAACCTAAAGACATGGCTGGAAGCAGTAATGTGCCCTTGGCATCAGCCGGTGATAGTTTGTTCCAATGAAATTTGATGATGCTTGTAGATTCAGCGATTGAGCATGTTGCTTAATAAACCCTTGGCTCATTGAATCTTAATAAACCATAGCCAGGCTTGGAGGGTGGAGTTCTGCGAGACCTTAGGAGGCTTCCTTTCGCCCACATGTTGACATTTCTCTCAACCCTTATTAATCTCTACTGTCATTTCGCTAGGTTGCCTCTGGACTCTCAGCTGCCCTGATTGTTCCAAGTGCAAGCCTGCTCATTGCCTTTTAGAAAAGTAATAATAATCTGATTTTTGGAATGTCTCTCTCACCCGGTCTTGATAGCCGTTAAAGACATTGATCTGTCAATTACGACTTGTTCCCTTGGGTGCCAGCCCTTTTTGTCCTATAGTGAAGATATGAGTGGTTGAATTATGGATGTATTTACAGGGTTGATGTAAAGATAACAAGATAATATATGGCAAGAGCTTTGAGGACTTAGGGGAAATGCTATATAAATACTATTTTGGCTTCTGGGACCATTCCTTTGCTTTTTAATGGCCAAGGGTGGCTGGTTGATGTTTCTCCAAAGGAAGCTAATTGTTAGAAGATACAAAATACAAAATAAAAAATTCCTTCCAGTAGCACCTTAGAGACCAACTACGTTTGTTATTGGTATGAGCTTTCGTGTGCATGTGTTGGTCTCTAAGGTGCTACTGGAAGGAATTTTCTTTATTTTTTATTTTGTTTTGACTACGGCAGAGCAACACAGCTACCTACCTGTTAGAAGATAGTGCCTTGATATCTAGAGATCTTGTTTGTCATCACAGGAGGCGATCCCAGCTAAGCAAAGTGGTCATAGGAACATAGGTGGCTGTCTACCAGCTCCATCTGGTCTGTTGGCTGAGACCCTACATGTTTGCACTCTGCCTCACTATAGTGATATACGCTCTGGTTATCTCCTGCTTGGACTACCACAATTTTCTCTACATGGGGCTGCCTTTGAAGGTGACTTGGAAACTACAGTTAATCCAGAATGTGGCTGCCAGACTGGTGACCTGGAGTGGCCGCCGCGATCATATAACACTGGTCCTAAAAGATCTACATTGGCTCCCAGTACATTTCTGAACACAGTTCGAAGTGTTGGTGTTGACCTCTTAAGCCCTAAGCAGCCTCAGCCCTGTATACCCAATCACAGGATTAAGAGTCTCATGCTCTACCGACTGAGCTATAGGAAGCTGCCTTATGCCAAGTCAGGCCATGGGTCCATCTGGCTCAGTATTGTGAACACCAAGTAGCAGTGGGTCTCCAGGCAAGAGTGTTTCTCCACCCCACCTGGAGACACAAGGGATTAAGTGTGCTCCTACCATTGAATTATAGCGTTTCTCATAAGACAATGTAGTTTGTGTGTATATTACGAATGTAACCAAAATAACAGGAACCCTGCTGGATAAGACCAAAGACCCATCTAGTCCAAAGTCTAGTCCAACCTTTTTGGTTGACTGAGTGGAAGGAGGTGAGTCAACCACTGAGGATTGGCTCCTAGGGTCATTCTGGAGAAGGCGTGTAGGAAGAACACAGAAGAGTTGTTCTCTATGCTCCAATGCTAACCACTGAGGAACACTGAAAACACAAGGTACCATTCAGTTTCACAAGAATAGTGTGAGAGTTCTGCTACTTACAAAGGAACTTCGTGGAGAACACAACTTGAGTCACTCTGAAAAGAAGATATTGGAGCACTCCAAATCATTTGCCTGTGCATCCCTGCACAGAAAATATTAGATCTAGCTGAAAGGCAACACATGGAGATCTGCATTGATTGTTGCATCCTATTACTGCATAATCTTAGACGGTTGAATAATCTTAGAAGGGCGTGTGGCTTTGAGACGGCATGGCTTCGACTGTCATGAAAAGGTCCTGCAGTTCTGCCCGGACACTGAGGTCCAGCGCTGAGGGCCTTCTGGCGGTTCCCTCCCTGTGAGAAGCCAAGTTACAGGGAACCAGGCAGAGGGCCTTGGTAGTGGGACCCGCCCTGTGGAACGCCCTCCCACCAGATGTCAAAGAGAAAAACAACTGCCAGACTTTTAGAAGACATCTGAAGGCAGCCCTGTTTAGGGAAGCTTTTAATGTTTAATGGACTATTGTATTTTAATATTCTGTTGGAAGCCACCCAGAGTGGCTGGGGAAACCCAGCCAGATGGGCGGGGTCTAAATAATAAATTATTATTATTATTACTTCTGAACTTGCCACTACTGTACTGACTGTGTCAAACATGTAGAATGGCACCAGTCTTTCTTTCTGCCAGCTGAACCTTCCCATCAGATGAGGAATGGGGGCAGACAGGCTCCTCCTTATTCACGCCAGCCTCCTCATATCACTGGTCCACTAGTTGCAGGTGTTGTGGTGCAGCTTCACGATCTATAATTGGCTTAAAAAAGAGAGAGAGAACTGGGTCAAGAAAGAAACACAGAAGCTGGCTCACTGAATTATTCTTATGGAGTTGTGAAAGCCTCGCAGTCTAATTCCGATGTAAAACAGAGCAGGTCAAATAGTACTCAGTGAATACATTGGATGAATGATGCTGAGATTTGTCAAATAATTTATCTGAAGGGGAGAGGGAAAAAAAATGTTTGCAACGTCTTAGGCTGCATATAAAAACTGATCAAACCTTATTCATCCGGCGTGTTCCCTGAGGGGAAGAAATAGCAACTTTTCATTGGTTAATTTATTTGGGGATTATTTTTTCCTCCCCGGTACCCAGTGAGAACTAACACATTACAAATTCCTTCCACTAAAGGGGAAGCCTCTCAAAAGCAATGGAAGCATAGAGAGGACTAGGAGCATGGGAAGTGTTTGATTATTAATATTTGCAAACAGGAGAATTGGCCTGCAAAGCAGACAATTCTGAACAATATGCAATGTGACATGTTTTTCTCAAAGTCAGAACTGATTATATAAATCACACCTCCATGCACCAGATGCTTTTTTGGGGGTGGGGTGGGTAGGAATATACATTTTTTCCAAAGAGTTTTTTTTGGGGGGGGGGCAGCAGTGGGAAGAGCATCCTAATCTCTTGAGCACACTCAAGCACAGGAAACAGTCAACACTCAGACAGAAGGGCCAAAGGTGAGGTTTACATAGAGAAGGCAGGAAATTAACTGTGGCAGTTATCTCACTGGTCCACATTTTGCCACATCATAATCCATTGTAATGTTCGATGCACCTTTCCACCTGGGGGATTACACGCAAGCTCTATTTAAAGCAGGATTAACAAAATGAGATAGTCACTTTAAAATGCTGTTTGAAAAGCAGTGCCATGCCAAACCCCCATCACATAAGCATCCTTACCACCCAAAATGACAAGAGAAAGAAATAGGCACATGCAGGTATGTATGTGTGTGTCGCCGCAAATTCATTTAAATTAAGATTTTAACATTAAAAATATGCAAAGGGTTGGGTAATGAACCGATGGCAAAATTGAGGCCAGTGGCCAAAGAAATGAGGGCAAGGCTCTTCCTTCCACCCCTTGGATTGACCTCCCCAATATAATGCTGTGCACCTTAAGTAAATAGAATATGTTTTGCCCTGGATTCCAGCGGTGCAGTTAGATAATTGCAGATTGAACTTAATCAGCTTATGACGTTTGTGTGTGTGCGCACTTTAGATAGTAATATGAAGGGCCATCGCTCAAGTGGTAGAGCATCTGCTTTGCAGGTTCAATACCTAGCATCTCCATTGTTGGAAACCCTGGAGAGCTTCTGCTGGTGAGTGAAACAAACCGGCTTCAGAAACCATGGTTTGAAGTTGTTTTATTTCTATATTGGGTTCACATGCCAGAGGGATGAGCCAGGTTGCATGCAAAGTAAAACTAAGCTCTGCTAAAGCCTCCCTCCTGGCAAGGTGGGAAGAGGAAGGGTGTGTGTGTGTGTGAGTGTGTGAGAGAGAACCAAAGACTGACAGCAGTTTCGTTCTATCTGTGTGCATAGCACTAAACCAGAGCGAGGAGCCTTTTCCTTAAGACTCATGGGAAAAGTCTTCTGAGCTGATGGAGGATGGCGCTAGAACCAAAAGTGAAAGGGCTTTGCATCATTGCAAGAGCTCTCCCTCTCTCTCTTTCTCTGTCCTTTACCCACTCTCTGTGCCACCCAGTGCATCTTTCCATTCCGCATGAGCATCCGTGACCTTAGTACATCGCAGTCTAGGTGGGTACATCAACATCATGTTTTGTCTACATTATGAATCGACCAATTAGAATATCAGCCCTACTGATAACAGTTGTGATCTTTGTGAAGAATTATTACAATTGCCACCACCACCCATATAGAAGGCGCTTTACAGAGAAAGTGAGGGCTGCTCCCTGCCCCAAGGGGCTCACAATCTAGAAAACAACACATTGAGCCAGCTACTAAATAGCACCAATTGACTCTTTCCTGCTGAGTTCTTCTCATCTTGTTAATATTCTCCCATTTGTTCTGTTAATTAAGGCAGATTGGTTTCTATATTTATTACCTCTAGGTGGCAGCAGGGATCAAACCAAGGTACACTGTTTTCCCCAGCTGGTAAAACTACCCTGTTCTAATTCAGCGATGGAGATTTGGCAGCAATTGACAGAGCTGCTTGTAGAAAAGGTCTGTGGTGGATGTATGGACTGCATCTATAGAATCAGATTGCTCCCAACCGTTGCTTTTATTGCACATAGTTTCTGAACAGAATGAGTGGTACCTTTTTCATCACTCAGCTTACATGGGCATCCAGCAGGAATGAAACAATTTTAGACATTTTGCTTCTAACTAACAGAGCCCGCCATATTGCAATGACAAGATGGCGTGTTAGATTCATTTTGTTATCCAGACTTGCCACTCAAAAGCATGGCTGCAAATGGATTCACGATATTGATTGTACTGCAGATGGGTTCCAAAACTATATGGATTCCGAGAGCTGTTTTACACATTACATTTTCCTATTTGCAGATAATCCTTGAGTAAGTGGTGGGAGAGAGAAAAGAAACTCTTCAGACATCTGTCATGCTTGGATGCTTGAGCATTGACTTTGTCAATGGGTGGTTTGACTCAGGGAATAAATGAGGAAAGTTAAAAAAGTGTACTGGAGAATCTCCAAACTTCTGATTCCAGTTTCTTCCTCAACCTCTATACAGTGTGTAGAAATTGACTACGTCAGTTCCTGAGGAGCCTGCATTCTTACTGGTTTTATTTCTCAGTGCAACTTTAAAAGAGAAAGGGGGAAATATGCACTCGACTGAAAGGAGCACTTCTGGATTTGGGTAAAGAAAAGGGAGACAATGGGCATGAAGCCGTCAAGCGATTCTAATTGTGAAATGAAATTCACATCTGTGAAAAAATGCATGGGATTGGGCCACACGTCTGCACACTTAACAGGGAAATCCTATGAATGCCTTTTCAGAAATAAGCCTTTAGCTGAATGGTCTTACTGCCCTGCAATTGTGAACTTAATTTCCTTCTGATTAAACATGCATTGTATTGTGTGGCACAATGAAGAGCAACACAGGTAAAGGTAAAAAAGCAACAACATTTAACTATCATCCACAGTTTAGTCTTCACCAAGCGTGAAAAAAGTAAACAGAGTGAACAAATCTGAGTGAAAAATTCACACTGAATAATTTACCCATCTATTTATGAATTAATTGGTCGCAAGATACCTTGTGATTTATTTATTTTTTGCAGTTTAATTTTACATCACAACG